TCATTTGGTTCTTGAGATCTTTGAATTGGATTGATAGATGGTTCAATGTCAACAGGACTTTTCTCAGATTGCTCATCGAACTTGACATGTATGGATTCCTCGATAACCATTGTTCTTTTGTTTAGAATCCTGAAAGCCTTACTCACTGAGGAGTAACCCATGAACAATCCTTCGACCGCTCTTTCGTCGAAAGCTTTCAGATGATTCTTCCCATTGTTGTGAATGAAACACCTGCAACCAAAGATATGAAAATAGCCAATACTAGGTGTCTTACCTTTCCATAGTTCGTATGGGGTTTTGTTATGGGACTTGTTGATCAAAGATCGATTTTGTGTGTAGAATGCTGTGTTTACAGCTTCGGCCCAAAACCGCTTTGGTAAACCCGAATGTGCAATCATTGTTCTTGCGGCTTCTTTCAAGGTTCTGTTCCTTCTTTCGGCTACTCCGTTTTGTTGAGGAGTTCATGCTGCCAATAGTTGATGAAAAATTCTGTTTTGTCTACAGAATTCTTTGATAAATTTGTTAACGAACTCAGTTCCTTGATCTGATCTTATTCGGATAATCTTGACTTCCTTTTCTGTCTGAAGCTGTCTCAGGAGATTTGGTAGAACAATTTCTGTTTCATTCTTTTTCTTTAAGAATAGCACCCAAGTATATCTCGTGTGGTCATCTACTACAACGAGAGTATACTTTCTCCCACTTAAACTTGCTGGATCAACTGGTCCGAAGAGATCCATATGTAGAAGACTTAAAGGTCGAGAGTTTGCATCCGTGTCTTTGGATTTGAAGGATGATTTTATTTGTTTCCCTTTTTGACACGCTTCACATATCTTGTCTTTCATATAAGATGCTTTTGGTAAGCCTTTCACGAGATCTTTCTTGGCAAGCTTGTTGATTGTCTTTAGATTTAGGTGACTCAACTTGTTGTGCCATTCCCAGCTTAAATCTGCATTATTCTTAGCAACAAGACAAACTTTAGTGTTAGATGAGTTCCAAGAGACTATGTACATGTTTTTCTTTCGCTGGCCTGTTAGAACAATTTCACCATCTCTCGTGCTGACTATACTGCATTTGTCTTTTAAGAATTCGACTTTGTAGCCTTTGTCACAAAATTGACTCGTGCTTAGAAGATTGAACTTTAGCCCTTCAACGCATGATACATCTTGAATAGTTATTCCCTTTTTGATGATGTCTCCTGTTCCACGAGTTTTGCCACTCGTTTCGCCTCCAAAGATGACTTTGGGTCCGTCAATTACTTTAAAGTTGCTCAACATTGCTTTGTCACCAGTCATATGTCTTGAGCAACCACTATCAACATCCCATATGACTTGTTTATCCTGTAAGAAAGATTATATGTTTTTAGGTACCCCTTGAGTTACGGGTCCTTGAGGGTTAGATGTCAACTTTGGGATCCACATGAACCTAGAGTATCCTTGACTCATCCTTGGTCCTTTGTATCCATTAGATGTGCGATAATCATAATGGATCATGGCAAAGGTTTTAGTATTATATCTCTCTCGAAAGTATTCTTCAGGAGGATTGTGATACTGCTTGGAATAATTAGTTTGTTTACGCAGATGAATTTTCTCAAATTGTTCTCTTGATAGAGGTTCTGGGTAAACAAACCAATCTTCCTCTGATGGCCCAGTCCATCCATTGCCATAACTAGATCTTTTGAAGGATCTTTCGTTTTGTTTGATTCATGCATTTATCGGGATTCCTTGAGCAGGATTCTTTCGTGTAAATTTTGGACGATATTGCCTCTGGTTAACACTCGGTATTCTCCTTGATTGAGTATTCCTATAAGGCTGACCCTTTTTATGGTGTAGATTTTGTCTATTGCCATTTGGTCCATTCCTTTTGACATATCTATGTCTAGGATTGCCTTTAAAGGATTTTTCAACTATAGTGTTGGTCCCGAAAGGGTGGCGAGAAGTCTAGAAGGGGGGGGGGGTGAATAGACTTCTCTAACTTTTTCAATTCTTTCGCAAAACACACAAGGCAAATAACACTTTGATTATATCAACTCTAAGTAACAAGCATCAACAAGATAAACGACTTAGAGTGTGCAGTGGAATAGGTAGCGGTATAGTGTTATGCTTAAAAGTGTGGTGCTCAAAGAGAGATTCTAAACATGCAATACGTTAGAAACGCTTAATATGGTTCAAAGATAATGTACGCAAAGTTTGGCTTGCATGCAAACGTGGGAACTATCAAACCCAGATAGATAAAGATATGCGATAAATCGTAATCGGGTTAGTTCGCAGTTAGAATAAGCATGCACAAAATATATGAGCAGTAAGTAAATAGAGAGAGAGATTTATAGTGGTTCAGAGGTGGTGTAATCCTCCTAGTCCACTCTTCTCCTTTCACTCCAAGGAGGAAATTCATTATTCTTCGATCACCCAGATACAATAGCGAATAAGTGCCCAGTGACACTTCTCCGAGTGCTTCGCACAAAGCTACACTCCACCAAGGTTTTTCGCAAGCTCCTCTTGTTACTCCGCCTCCCCGAGTACTTCGCACCAAGTTATACTCCTACACCACGAGAACTGCGCACAAAGCTACGCTCTCACAGGGTTTTCACAAGCTCCCCTTGTTACTCTGCCCTTTACACCGAGTGCTACGCACAAAGCTACACTCCAACTGGGTTTTTCACTCTCTCCAGTTACTCTACCCCTTTTCTACACTCAGTAGAAGATTCACAATGAAATACAAAGATTTCTCTCACTCAGACTTGAATTCTTTCGTGTATGCTCAATATATCACTTGATGATTGTAGAATTCCTATATAGCTCTTGTTTAAGTGCTTATTCAAGTGTTTTTGTCTTCAAGTCTGCTTGGACAATTTATAGCCAAAGAAAGCTATTTGCCCGTTGATCAACTTTCGATCTCGATCGTCCATTTTGAATTGTAGTTGATCAAATAATGTTGTCAACTTGATCTGAAATATTAGGTAGATGTCATTTCTCCTTTTGTCAGATGATTTGAATAATTTGCCCGTTGCCGTGTCTTGAATTTTGTAGCCTCCAAAATTTGAATAAGTTCGGCGCGGCATGCTTGATATTTCTTGTCCTTTATAAATGCTCTGACATGTCAAGTTGATCAAATAATTTATCTGTTGATTCTTGCTTTAGTATAAAATAATTTCTCCGCGAATCAGCCTTCTTCGAGCGTCTCCGGTTCCACCGTTATGGTGCATGGCTTTTGTGAGACTTGTGCATTTACCTTACTTAGTCTCCATATTGGCTAGTCTCCTTTGGCTAGTCTCTCTTTAGAGAGTCTCCATTAGCTAGTCTCCAAGACATTTAAGCTAGTCTCCCATACGGTTCAATATACTCGGGCTAGTCTCCCATACGGTTCAATATACTCGGGCTAGTCTCCCATACGGTTCAATATACTTGGGCTAGTCTCCCATACGGTTTAAGCTAGTCTCCCATACGGTCCAAGCTAGTCTCTCATACGGTGGAGCTAGTCTCCCAAGTAAGTTAAAAATGCTTCACTTAAGATTCAAACTTAGGATCACTTGGCATAGCTCACACGTGTTTCTTCCAACTCCTTTAGCATGGTTCTTGGTAACTTATGCGCAACATAATTTTGTTAAGCTATAATCCCGCTTAACTTCGAAAATCAAATTATGATTTTTCAGACTTGTACATGGGTTGCATGATATTGGTGCACCATACTCCGTAGACTAAGACTGACTCAAATAGAATAAAATTGGGGACTACTTGATTTTTCAAAAATACATTCGACTCATCAAAATTTACAATATATTCCTAACATATAGGTTCCACAATTCATTGTACAGCCTTTCCTTTCGGTTGGCTTGTTGATTGTGGTATAGCGACATTGTTAACTTTTGTCATAGGCTCAGACAACTGGGTGGGGCCTTGAACAAATGCTGATTGAAAACTCTCCCGAGAGTAAGCATTAGTGGATTTGTTCAGACCAATTTGTGAAGAGGAGCTGGGGTCAAAACCGATTCCCGTTCTTTCCCTGGGCAGTCTTGATTCGTTCACCATTCGGTCCATTAAATTGGACGAATTGTTGAATGAATTTAAGAATTCACGTAATTGTTGCTCCCTCTTTTCTCTTTCTGTACACTACTTTTTTAAAGAGAGAACATTTTTCTCAAGTTGATCTTTAGCAATGGCTAGCTTTATGTTCTCAATTCGAACTTGCCTTAGCTCATTGTAGCTGATCATAAGCCGAGAGTTCTCCTCTTTTAATTTAGAGTATGTGTTTTTTATTATCTTGAACTCCCCCATCATTTCGGTAACTGATTCATTGGAAGCTTGACTTCTCATAAAACTAGACTCTGCTGAATAACAGGAGGATGATTGTGAATTTACCTCATCATCATCAGCCATAAGGCATAGCTCATCTGACTCTTGGCTAAACAGACATAGCAGTCATTTTTCTGCTTCAGTACTATCATCATCCGAACTTGAACTTGAAGAACTACTTTCGACTTCGATAGTGTCAGGTGTTTCGTTTACTACCATAGTTTTTCTTCTTCTTTCGTTTCTAGAGTTCGATGATTCTGGCTTGTCATTCCTCTTGTAGCTTTCTCCTGCTTCTTTGGATGGGCTTTTGATAGCATTGACATCTTGGTGCTTACTTACAATTGGGTGTGGACAATTCGCCTTGAAATGTCCTGGCTTCCGACAATTGTAGCATAGCAATTGCAAATCTGATGTCTCTTGCTTTGAGGTTTGAGGTGAACTCTTGTGTTGTCTTCGGTGTCCCGAACGTTGAAAATCTTGGAAGTTGTTCTTCCTCATAAACCTCTTCATTTTCCTAACAAATAAGGCATATTTTTCATCAGATAAAAATTCACAAGAGTTAGACTTTGACCTGTTTGATGTTGATGCTTGATGGTTGGCCACAAGAGCTATATTTCTCGTTTCAGGTTCTTCAACATCCTTTGGTTCATGCTCAAACTCGTAAGCCTTAAGATCACTAAAGATTTTGGTTGTGCTTGTGGTTTTCATGTCTCAGTGATCTCTCATTGTTGTGACCTTCATCTCCCAAGACTTCGGTAGGCCACGAAGAATCTTCAGGTTCTTTTCTTTTCCGGATAATTCCTTCCCGAGATCAGACAGATCACCCATGAGCTTGGTGAACCTCAGTTCCATGTCTGTGACAGCTTCATTCGGCAACATCTTGAAGTCCTCAAACTTCTTCATGGCCACTGTCAATTTGTTGTCCTTCTCCTGTTCATCTCCTTCACCCAGGTTCATCAGAACATTCCATATTTCCATAGCATTTTTGCATTTTCGGACTCTGGGGAACAAGGAGTCGTCGAGAGAGTTGTAGAAAATATTTTGCGCTACATTATCCAAGTTCGCTCTTGTTCTTTCCTCCGTGGTGAGTTGAGACTTCGGTTTTGGTATCATCTCCTCAGCACCTGCTCCTTGTGCTGCAGCTTGTGTATTCGCCATCATGATTGTGATTGGTCCTGTGGTTACTATATTCCACATTTCGTCATGTATTACTGAGAGAAGAGCCTGCATCCTGACTTTCGAGTCATCAAACTTGGAGAGGTTAAAGGCAAGCTACCTCGAACGGTTAGCATGGTCTTTTTTCATTTTTACGAAAAATGTGCAAAGCTGAAAATATGCAACTATTCAGAAACTTTTTGACAAGGGATCTACCAGGCAGTAAATGCAAAGCCTTTACCGATCAAGGTATTGGCTCTGATACCACTTGTTGGTCCTAGTAGGGTTAGAACGAGAGTCTAGAGGGGGGGGGTAAATAGACTCTTCTCGATTTTAGCCAGATAGCAACCTTTCGGAGTTGTAGCGCAGCGGATAGATTAAGTTGATTTTAGTTGCTTTGCACAGTTTGAAGTTTTAAGATAACTTTCGGTTTGGACGAATGATAATGCAATGCTAGAAAGTAAAGTACGAAATTAAAAGGATAGAGAGACGAGAGTTTTTATAGTGGTTCGGCCAACTTTGCCTACTCCACTCTTCTTCCACAACTTATGGAAGGTTTGCACTATCACTCGTTAGTACAAATATACACGAAAGCTTCCTTGATCACTAAGCCGGACAGCTTCCTGTAGGTTTTTCAACTTCGCGAGTTTACTCCGCCTCTATCAACGTCTTCTTCAGAGTTGAGGTTGGTAGAAAATAATTTCTGGTTTCTCCAACACGGTGAAGTCTTGACTGATGATAGATGATTGCTTCATACAAGATGCAAGACTTCTTCAAGGTGGAAGATGAAGATTGATGAAAAAATCTTCACGCCTTGAAAACTTGTTAACAAAAGCATGGTAAGAAAGTGAGCTTGTATAAGAGTTTTTGCTTGAGAGTATTGATCGAGTGAAAAGAACCAGCACCTTCTAAGTTGATGAAGGTGGGTATTTATAGGTGAGGAAAATTTCATCCGTTGGAGGGAGATAAAATTTCAAACCTATTATCCAGTGGGTAAGAACCGGGGAGCTTGGTGCAATAAATGCTTCATTAATGCGTGATAAACATTATTTTTAGTGTTATTTTAAATAATCTTTTTATAATTAATTTACAATAATTGATTAATTTTATATCTATTTTATTTATTATTGTTATATTTAGTTTTATTAATATTGTTAAATTTTAGGTTAGTTTTATTATTAAATTTGTTAATTATTTGAATTTTATCAAATCAATAATTCATTGAGCCTAATTTAAAAAATAATAATAATAGTTTTAGTAGTCCAAGATCAGTAGGAGTTTAATAAATGTAGATTAGTTATATATGGTCTCTAATATCATCATCATCATCATTATTATTATTATTATTATTATTATTATTATTATTATTATTATTATTATTATTATTATTATTATTATTATTATTATTATTATCAGTTAATCACATGAACTAACCGAACGAAAATGGAGATCGCAAACTCAGCATCTTCTTCGGCCATTGACGAAGCTGCGATCCAGTAGAATCAACTTAGTGGTTGTCCCTAATTTCTGCGGCTATTTCTCCGACGAGTGTGGAGAAGCAGTGAGGCTGATGAATAGTATATAATGAGGGCGATAATGGAGAAGAATCAAGCAATTTATCTCGGAGTAATTCCGGAGGCAGTAGCCGAGTTTGGCGTTCGGCGGCGTTGTTCCGTCGGCAACGTTGGCAATTTTAGGCAGCAAATCCAGTTCGCGGTCGGCGAAACTCCACGACAGCAGCAAACAATCCACGGCAACACCCATTTCCTTTAGTTTTCAATTATTGTTAGTTTACTACGGAGTAATTGGTTACTTAATTGTTGATCAATGTCTTTAATTATTTAATTCCTTTAGTCTTTAATTATTGTTAAGTTACTTTAATTTTTTTGAAAGTAAACTGCTGCATGTATTAATCAATCAAAGTCGAAATGAAGGTAGGAGGATTATCCTCCCACAACATAGAGTTTGCCTGTATAGAAGCTGACTGAGCTAACGAATGAGCTAAAACATTTAAAGAACGAGGAATATAAACAACAGAGCAAGAAATTAAACGATTCATCAAGTCCCGACATGCTGAAGCAGCTAAACCATCGTAGGTGCGAAACTCCGTCGCTGAATTACCAAGGGCGTGACATAGATTCGAACAATCTGACCGTAGCACCACCTCCATGACTCCACGATCCCTAAGCCAGGAAAGGGCCTCCTTACATGAATAAGCCTCCGCCATAAAGGGTCCCTGACAAAGCAGTAAAGGGTCGTTCTTGGCTGCAATAAAGTTTCCACTCGCGTCCTGTAGTATAATGCCAAACGCCCCTTCCCTTGTTGAAGCCGTGTATGCCGCGTCAAAGGAGCAGCACAGCTGCACCGTGGACTGCCCAGCAGCGGCAGTAGAGGCGTGAGGCAGCTGCTGCCTCTTCGTGCGGACTGTAGCCGAGTGCCATGCGGATAGAGAAGCCATCGCCCTTTTGTACACAAGCCGTGGTCTACCCACCTTATGCTCCCACACTGCCAAATTCGATTGTAACCAAATATTGTACATAATGGCCACCATAGAAGTAAATTGATTTTCATCAACATTTTGTAGCAACAATTCAAGGCACACACCAAAGTCATCATCCACCGTACTCTGCGCAATAAAGCCCGAAATATTCCACACACATTTAGAATAGTCACATTGTACTAAAGAGTGTAAAATATTTTCAGAGCAAAGAGCACACAAAGGGCATGCTAATGGGACATCTACCCTCCTATTATATAAATTCATGGTGGTGGGTAACACTCCTCTCACTGCTCTCCACAAAAAAAACTTTCCACTTCGGGGGTGCCTTTAGGTTCCAAATTTTATTCCAAGATGTGAAACCATTTGGGGGTACAATAATGGTTCCCATTAAATTACGGTAAGCGGCTTTCACTGTATAAATTCCTTTGGGGTCCCCATGCCAATACCACATATCATCATAGGCAGGGCTAATTGGTATTGCCGAAATCCGCTCAACATCCACAGCAGAAAACAACTCATTGAGCAAAGGAATGTCCCAGGTAGAGGATGCCGGATCAATTAATCCCGAAACTTTAACTTCCCCTAGGTGAGGAGGTTTTTCTGACATAATTCTTGGTTCAGAATCACTCAGCAACCACGGATCAACCCAAACGAAAGTGGAGTCACCATTTCCAATCCTCCGCCTAATATTTCGAATAATGGTCCCTGGGCAACCATTATACTCCTCCAAGGAAAGCTTGGATTATTTCCAACTGAGGCATTCAAAAAATCTGAATTTGGGTAATACCTGGCCTTATATATTCTTGCCACCAAAGATTGGGGATCTGTTAGAAATCTCCAGCCCTGCTTGCCCAGCATAGCTACATTAAAAGCTCTCAAATCCTTGAAGCCTAAACCACCATATTTCTTTGGTATACTCATTTTATCCCAGGCAAGCCAATGTATTCCTCCCACATCCTTTCCATTACGCCACCAGAATCTATTCATAACACGCTCTAGGTTCTTTCATAGCGAGTCAGATAACAAAAACACACTCATAGTAAACGTTGACATTGCCTGCGCAACCGATTTCAGTAAAATTTCTTTACCTGCTCGAAACAAAAGTTTCTTATTCGAAGAGCCAATTCTCTGTCTCACCTTATCCTCCACATAAGCAAACACTGCACGCTTATTCCTCCCCACAAAAGCCGGTAGCCCTAAATACTTTCCAAAGTTTACTGCTTGATGAACCCCAAATTCCGCCGACACCAAATCTCTTTCAGCTTGCTGAGTGTTCCTACTAAAACATATATTTGACTTATGATAGTTAATGGTCTGACGAGAAAGCTCCTCATAATAAGTAAGACACCCGTTTAACTACCTATGCCTCACCAACATTTGCCTTAAAGAACAGGAGGCTGTCATCCGCAAAAAAGAGATGTGAGAGAGCAGGAGCCCCTCTCGCCACCCTTAATCCATGCACATCACCTCTATCCTGAACCTGTTGTAATAACAATGATAACCTCTCTGCACAAATAATAAACAAATATGGGGACAAAGGATCCCCTGGCGGAGCCCACGAGATGGGGTTATCTGACCTCCAGACACACCATTAATCATAACATTATATGAAACAGTAGTGACACATTCCATAATTAGATTTACCCACCCCGCCTGGAAGCCTAAAGCCAGCATCATTTTCCTAAAAAATGACCACTCCATTTTATCATATGCTTTTGCCATATCCAACTTCAAAGCTCCCCATCCCACCTTACCCAACTGCTTTCAGTTTAGAAAATGTCCTACCTCAGCAGCAATCAAGATATTATCAGTAATCAACCTGCCAGGAATAAACGCACTCAGCGAAACAGAAATAACATCACCTAACAGAGGCTTCATACGATTAGCAATTACCTTTGCAATAATCTTATAAACAACATTACTCAATGCAATCGGGCGGAGATCCGTAACCACCTCAGGGGACTGCGTTTTCGAGATAAGCACAATATTCGACTCATTAAGACCAGTTGGCAAGGACTCCGTATTTAAACATTCAAGCACACAACTAGTCACATCTGTACCAACAATGTCCCAAAACTTCTGATAAAAGCCCGGATTCATTCCATCGGGACCCGGTGCTTTCTCTAGAAACATAGCAAACAACGCATCTCTCACCTCCCCCGGATCATACGGCCGATTCAGCCAATCATTGTGGGACTGGGTAACACGAACAGGGATAGAGGCAAAAAAATCCGCTCCATTACTCACCTCGGGGTTAGCAGTAAAAATATCATTAAAATAATTCATTACGACTGCCTTCATAGCATCACCATCTACCCATCCACCCAACTCATCTTTAAGGTGTAAAATAGTATTCTTACGTTTCGGGCAGAAGCATACCTGTGATAGAAGCGAGTATTTGCGTCCGCCCCACGAAGCCAATGCTGCTTCGCTCTTTGCCTCCAGAATACATCCTCCTGCTTCTCCAATCTTACTAACTCAGTTTCCAGACGGCGAAAGTCTGCTAACGCCTGGGGGCTCATACGACCACGGTAATTCAACTGTTGTTTCTTGAGATTAGCAATCCGTTCCCCAA